TTACCAAAGTGGAAGAACGGGAAGCGCTACTCACATTGCATCGTCTTTCCGCCAGAAATCATCAAGAAACAGCGGAACAAGAGGTCACTTATTTCACTTGCCCTAACTATTACTCTTGTCCGAAGTCAATGCACGTGGCGGCTGAGAAATCTGCGATTTTGAGTAAATTTTCGGCCGCAACATGCATTGATTTCGGACGAGAGTAATAACTTGTGCCTAACTAACTTGAATTCAAATTTTTTAAAAGAATTGGCTTCAAGTCAAATATCGGAAATCTGACTTGAAGTCAGATTTGGATGCCTTTCAAATCGAAACATGTAATATTTTAAAAGTTAGATACGCATTTTCGTGGTGAGACCCATCATACGGTAAAGGGGCGGAGTCTCGTCATTTCTGCCACCTTCCAGTCATTCGTGCCATTTGTCTTGGTGGGAGGAGGTCGTTTCTTTTTTTTTGCTCCTCCGCACCATTCATTCACCTTCACACCATTCATATCTTCAAAATCTGACTTGAAGTCAGATTCTCCTCCACGCTATCCTCTTCACATCCTATTTCTTTACGTTTCATGCAGTCCCATTTCATTGTCTAATCAAAAATTTTTTTTCAGCAAATGGCGGATACTCCCACCGTTCAACTCTCTCAAGAGACCTCCCATCAGAGGAAACGATCACATCGATCACCCCCTTCGATGAAGAAAAGTTGTCGGATGATTCCATCGACCAGTCCGCTCAAGAAATCTCGCATTCATCGAAGACTGACGATATGTCAGATGAGGTTTGTATATATTAAGAGGTTTGACTTGAAGTCAGATTTCAATGAATTGGCTTCAAGTCAATTCTTCAGAATCTGACTTGAAGTCAGATTTGGATCTGACCTGAAGTCAGATTTGGATCTCACCATCCCCATCACATTTCATTGTCTAATCACCAATTTTTTTTTCAGAAAATGTCGGGAGTTTCAATCAGTCCAATCGATCCAGACGAATCGATTCAATTGACCCTACCGAATGAGCAAGAGGCATCTCGGTCGTCCATAACTGAGGGGATAGCAGAAGAGGTTTGCATATGTGACTTGAAGTCAGATTAGATGAGATTCAAAAATTTCTTTCAGATGCTGCCCGTTGATCCAATCGGCACCGTCGCTCAAGGAGAATCGGTTCCATCTTTTCCACCAACCTCATTCAGCGACACCATCGCTCAGCTTCGTTTGTACTTCAATCAGGAGTTGTCAAATGAGGTTTGCATATCTGACTTGAAGTCAGATTAGATGAGATTCGAAATTTATAGGGAGCCATGCCAGCAGTCTCTGCAGATCGTGCTATTCATTCTGCTAAGAGAACCAGTTCAGTGCCAATTAGACAATACTCGAGCGATACTGTTGATGAAAACGAGTTGGCGGTCAAGGTGAGCATTTCTGACTTGAAGTCAAATTTTAAAGAGTTGAATTTTTTAGAAGCCAAGATTCTTCTCACCACAAAGACAAGTCCTGAAGCCTTTGAATACATCATATAAGCTTGCAATGAGTCCAGAAGCGCCATCATCTGAACATCCAAATAGTCTAGTAGAGCCATTGGTTGTACTTCAGAAGAGTCCAGAAGAGCCATGGGCTGAACTTCTAAATCGTCCAAAGACACAGGTAATTTTTTTTGCTCCAGGCCTAGTTTGAATATTTCCGTTTTCAGACACTTCCAGAAGCCCTCCAACAGCTTCGTCCCCTCAAACGCTATGGAAAGCAGGTGACGCTGAAGGAATACCTTCAGATTCAATTTAAAGGACAACTTTTACGAACCATCGATTGGAACCGCGTTGATGACTTGAAACTATTCCACCCAAAAACCGCTCTCTTCCAATCAACCAATCATCCAATTCTTCTCTTAGCCGGAAAGTCCTTCAACAGAGCTCTTCTTGTGGAAGGCAACCACAGGACAGCTGCGTTATCAGAGTGCCACGCCCAGAAGGAGCTTAGTGATGATGATCTGAAATCGACGGTGCCGTTGACTTTTTTTCAAATTCCCAAACCGGAGTTCAACAACATGTGGATGGCAGCTAATGAACTGGGTCGACAAGTGCAAGCTCAAGCTCGATTCGATTGGAAAAATGCTTCTTCAAGAACGCGTGAAGCTGTCTTTTCGGAATTCAAGAAAGAGGCGTACCGAACAAAAGGAAAGTTTTCCAAATTTGAATCGTCTATTCTTGCGTTAGAATTTTTGAATGCGGAATACGATGAGCAGG